CTGCCAGCCTCCTGAGAGGGTTATTCCCAGTGGTTTATCCTGCCTCCTCAGGAACAGCCCTCAGCAATGACTGCCTGATGCAGGGGCACCAAGGTGGGGCCCCCTTGCCTCGTTTGGGGACATATGTGAGGGGCCCTCCTAGTTCCAGAGCTCCTTATGAGATTATTTGAGTCTGTGTTACAACTGCTTTGCAGCTTAACCTCTCTCTGCCCGTTTATGCTTCATTCACTCCCAACAGGTATTGTCTCAGAAAATACCCCCCAAAAATGTCTTACATGCAAGTTGGTCTCTCATTCTCTTTCCTGGGGAGCCTGACCTACAGTATGGTCCCCATTGCTCAGTATTGAAAGTTCATACAGAACTTTGCTCAGTTCCTCAAGTCCGCTAAGCCCTCTCTGATGTGTCTTTGTGCAGGCTGTTACTTCTGCCTAGAGCCTTTCCCGTCTCTCCTCCCTGCTGCCCACTCTATAGGGCTAACTCCTATTCATCCTTAAGCCTCAGCATCCTTAAACCTCCTTTGGAAAGTCTTCCCTGATTCACAGAGCCCAGGTGCTCTACCTCCGTACTGTCACTGCATTCAGTACTGGCTCTGTCACTGCATAATTCAACTGTGCACCACTTGACTGCTGCCCTACCAGACTGTATCCTCTGTGATGGCAAGGAATGTGTCCATCCTGTCCGTAAGTGCGTGCCAGTGCATAGTGCAAGCCTGAGGACACAAGAGGTATGCCAAAGTAGTGGTTAAATAAATGAATAAAAAGTAGGACATAAAAAAGCCCTAAGTAAGGAGGCAGCAGCAAGGTAACAGGACAAAAGAGGAGAGGGCATATTTGATACATATTTAGGTGCTAAAATTAATAGGTTTTAAAAACTGATTAATTGACTGATTGAACCTAAGAATAAGAGTGAGAAAGAGTCGCCCAGCCGGTGTGGCTCAGTGGTTGAGTGTCAAACCATGCACCAAGAGGTCGCCAATTCAATTCCCGGTCAGGGCACGTGGCCAGGTTGTGGGTCAAATCCCCATTGGGGGGCATGCAGGAGGTGGCCATTCAATGTTCTATCTCATCGATGTCTCTATCTCTGTCTCCTTCTCCCTTCCTCTCTCAAATCAATAAAGAAAAAAATTGTTTAAAAAAGAGTGAGGAAGAGTCTAGAATAGCTCCCATGTTTCTGCATGTACAAGTAGGTGGGAGATGGTGCCATTGGCTGAGAGAATACAGAAGGAAATCGAAGGGTAGCTTAAACAACAGCAATTTATTTCTGACAGTTCTGGAGGCTACAGGTTCAAGATCAAGGTATCAGCTGGTTGGTTTCTTCTGAGGTTCTGTCCTTGGCTTGCAGATGGCTGTTCCTCGCTGTGTCCTGACCTGGCCCTTTCTCTGTGCACACACACTCCTGGCTTCTCTCCGTGTGTCCAAATTTTCTCTTTTGATAAGGGTACTAATCAGATTAGATTAGGGCCCACTTTAGTGGCCTCATTTTAACCGAATCACCTTTTAAAAGGCCCCTGCCGCAAATACAGCCACGTTCCGAGGTACTGGGGGGCAGGCCTCCAGCATATGAACTTTGGAGGGTGCACCATTTGGCTCATAACAGGTCTACATTTGTTCTCACCTCCTTCCACACCACTGCTCAGAGGCAGCCCACGTCCCTGCCGCAGCACCAGTGTCCAGATCTCCAAGACTCAGACTCCAGGGTGTTATGGAAACAGATGAAAGAAGGGGTTGGCCTGGCCAGTGTGGCTCAGTGGTTGAGCGTCAACCCATGCACCAAGAGGTCGCCGGTTCAATTCCCGGTCAGGGCACATGCCCAGGTTGTGGGCCTGATCCCCAGTGGGGGGCGTGCAGGAGGCAGCCAGTCAATGTTCTCTCTCATCAATGTTTCTCTCTCTTTCTCCCTCTCCCTTCCTCTCTCTCAAAAATCAATAAAGAAAATAATTAAAAACAAAACAATACATAAAAAACTTATTTAAAGAAAATAAGAAGAAAAAGAAGGGATTGTTCTGCCTGGGGTGGGGTGAGGAAGTGGCAGGAAGACACAAAGAATGAGTAACAATTCACTGGTTCCACGAGAGGAACATGCTCAGCTGAGGGACCTACATAAGCAAAGACACCGCGGTGTTAAATTTCCTAGGGAGTTGGGGGACGATTAGATGGGGTGTTGTGGAGGAGGAATGTGGGGGATGGTAAGAGCTGAAGCAAGAGAGGTTGGCTGAGATCATTGTAAAGAGTTTTCCTTTGGGCATAAGCTCAGCCAGTGCTTTTTCTAGATACGTAAACAAGGATTAGAAGCTGCTCCCATCGCTCAGGCAGGAAGCAACGTAATTACTTGTGAAAGGTTGGAACATTGGAGGATGATATTAAAGAGCTATTAGGATGGGGGTAGGGGCCCGAGTGGGTGGATAAAAGATAAAGGGGAAACGCTGAGGAAAAAGAGAGGAGAAAGGAAGAGCAGACAAAAAGAGGAGACACCTTGTTCAGATGGAAGTGATGAATTCTAGCATCCCAGATGGGATTCTGCAGAGTTGGGCTCTGCCTCCTCAGAAGACAGTCTCCTCCTCACATTTTCCAGAGTTGACCAGCACCTCTCAGGAAAGTGGAGGATACTGGAACTGTGGAGGCTCTGGGGATCAGGGGTCAGTTCATATGGAGACAGCAGGAGAAGGACCACCAGTGATGCAGGTGACAGAATTCCAAGAGGACCTGGGAAGCTGGATGAGACCAGCTTCGATGAGCTGATTGGCTGGGAAATTGATATGGCCAGTTCTGATTGGTTACTGAGGGAACACAGTCAACTCAGGACAGGGCTTGCAGATCAAGGACTAGTGACCTAGATCTAACCACACTGAGGACATAGTGGTAGCTATCAAAGACTCCTTTCCTCTCTCAGGACACTGCATCAGGAAAGCAGAAGGATCAGGCACTTGTGGAGGAGGAAAAGGAGGACACTGTGCTGGTCACTGTCCTCACCAGTGAGCTGATAGTAGTGGTCAAGGCCAGAGGTTAAATGGAAAGAAAGCAAAAGAACCAAGTGAGTGATTGTATCCCAACTACAGGCTAAGCAAGCCATCTTTTGCTTTTGCTCTTTTAAATATGTTTTTATTGATTTTTTTTAGAGAGAGAAAAAGGGAGAGAGAGAGATAGAAACATCGGTGTGAGAGAGACACATCGATAGACTGCCTCCTACACACCCCCACACTGGGGGTGGAGTCAGAAACCCCAGGCGTGTGTTCTGACTAGGAATCAAACCCGGGACCTCTCAGTCCATGGGACAAGGTTCAGTCCACGGAGCCACACTGGCTGGACCAAGCCATCTTTTCCTTTCCATTGAGTAAGGCTTGCTCTGACTAAGGACAGCCAAAATTGGCTACTGTATGTCAGTCAAAGCTGTGACTTATCGCCAAGGTGAGTTTACTTTTTCTTGATGAAACCTCTGGTCACAAGAACATGAAGGTTTCCACTCTGGGTCTTCCCCATGGCTCATCAATTTTAGTGGGTTAGGGGAGCCAGCTGTGGGGGCTCTGTTACCCCTGGGATCAGAAGAGTGATGCTCTCTACGACTATGTGGGTTGGAGCAGAGAGACTAAGCATGCCCCTGGGAAGCTGGTGACTGAAGAGAGATTGGTGTGGGGCCTGAGTCCCTGGCAGGCAAAGAGAGAAACTGCCAGACTGGACAGAAGGCTCTGAGGCCAAGCTCTCTGGAGCACACCCCATCCCCGACTGGGCCACAGCAGCCCAAAGCCTCCTGCTGCATTCTCACCGACACCCCAGTAATTCATTAGGCTTCATTAATATTGAATGTGTATATCACTGTAAAAATATTGTCAGCATGCTATCAAAAACTAAGAAAAAGTTTATCCACAATGCTGCCCCCCAAAGTTGATTGTGATATACAAGCATAGATCCTTCATTGGACCTTACCCACCTTAGTGCAGAGTCTCAAAGTTAGGACTTGAGGCGCTGGTGGAAGAAAACCAACCAGAGCACCTTTAACACAAGGCTTTATTCAAAATGCCTGGCATGAGACGTTTCCAAAAGAGCCTTCTCACTTGGGCAAGGAGGCTGAGGAAGGACCAGCTGAAGTTCAGCTAGTTTGAGAAATAGTTCAAAGGTGGTTCTCAGAAATAGGAATTATTCCTAAGGATGAAGAGCCATTGTTTGAGATTTTACCACGGGCCTTGGAAGGCGCAGTTAGGGGTTAAGGTCACATGGAAGGGAGGAACATCGAATGGGGGCAGAGACAGGCTAGGGCCACCCTGGACATTCTCAATGTTTTAGTGTCTATTGCAAACCCCAGGCTTCTAACCCCTGACCAGAGTTCTTTCCACATCCCGTAGATTCCCCTACCTTCTCTACTTTGGCAGGTGACTGAGAAAGAACCAGGATGTCCTGGACCTACTCCTAGAAGGAGAGGTTGAAATAAGTAAAGGCCTGGACAGCAAAGGCAAAAACTGGAAGATTTTTCTCCTAAGGTTGTGATGTATCTTCAGCAGCAGGAATTGAGTTCTGTGAACTACTGGCAGGCAGCCATGGGGGGAGGGAATTCTGCCACTAGGAATTGAGAAAAGTCAAGGGCGTCCTCATAGGAGTTCCATTTCCTGTTGATTTAGCTCCAGAAGCACTGTTGTATCAATAATTGTTGTTGTGCATCTTAATAAAACTCTTCTGCTCTCAATCCTCAGATTTTTTTTTTTTTTTTTAGTGATCAGCCTGGGTGGCCAGGTCTGCAACCCATTGTACCTCTCTCCCCAAGGGGCATTCAGCCCTGTGCATTATTTGAGCTTTCTTCCCCCTTGCTGTGCCTTTAAGAGCTGCAGGAATGCAGTGAGAGTCTGGAGGAGGGGTGGGGTCTCCTAACAGGAGTTGGGAGTTTTTCCCAGAAACAAAGCTGAGATTCCAACTCTGAGAAGTTGGAGGTGGTGTGTTAGATCGGGCTGTGATTGGACTGCAGAATCCACTGGGGGTAGGAAAGCAAAGTGAAACAGTTGGGGAGAGGGGGAAGCCCTTCCTGCACCCACACCAATGCGCACTTACCCAGGTCTAGAAGCAGGGTGCAGCCACTAGCCTGGGGAGCATCTGTGTGTGTTAAGGGTGATGCCAACAGATGCTGGACCCAGGAAACTCTCTACCCAAGTCGGCCTGCAAGGCCTCCAGGGATAGGCTTGCCAACAGCTGGACTTGATCACCAGCTTGCAAAGTGAGGTCACACATCTGGTGGAATAACAAGCAATCTTTGCTTTCCGGCTGTTTTTAGAGGATTTTCACAGCAGCGGCTAGAAACCAGAAGACCACCACTTGGACCCTGGAGTCTCCTTTGAGAAGCCCAGCATAGGAGAGATTCCACCTCTGGGTGGTTTGCAGGACAATGCTGGCCCTTCGGCGAGCTTCTGCTTTCCTGGTTCTGTTCCTCTCAGCTTTTCTGCCCCCTCCGCAGCGTGCCCAGGACCCAGGCATGGTGCACTACATCTACCAGCGCTTTCAAGTCTTGGAGGTAGGTGGCGTCTGCGCACCTGATACCGGGACATGCCTCCCGGAAGTCACCTTCTCTTACCGGGCTTCCCTATCTACCCGGATGTGTTTTCCCAGATAGTAAATGATAAATATATTGCCTAAGTTACACTTAATATTTTTTATAATCTAGATTTAGAGCACCACTCCCAGACCTTGAGCAGGGCAGCTTTTCTCCTCTGTAAAATGGGGATGATGATAGGATTTACCTCCTAAAGCTCTTCTGGAGATTTAATAAATTATTCCATAGTTAGACCATTGCCTGGTGAACTGGTAAATGTCCAAAAATGTGATTATTCACTAGTTCAGTTTTTACAATATGAAAATTAAAATTTGGAGTCACTTTTTCTTTATTTTTACTATACCAGGGTGATAGCTAATTTTAGTCTTTCTTTGATCTTTTTAGGATAAATTGTTAGGTCACTGTAAAAAGTCATGATGTTGTTGCGCCAAGAAGCTGTCATAGCCTCTTTGGCCAGACTGGACTTGCACTTAGGAATGAGCAGAGTTCAGCCACGCTGAACACAGAGAGAGGATCTGGGCCTCTTCTCCGTATGTTGCAGCTACTCCTTCATTAAACTTGGCAGAACACAACGTTTCTGCAGCAGGAACAGGCTTCCGGGGTCCAGTGCCACCCTCTGCCCTCCCTAGCCTTTGACACACCTGTGGTGTTGGTACCGACTATTTCATACTTCATTGCCTTGCTTTGGAACAAGTTACACTTTGATAAATTATCTTCTTTCAAAGACACTCTATCTCCAATATTTGCTTTCAACATTTTCCTGGAAAGTCTTCAAAGTCCAAATTATTGGATCATCTAGTTACAGTCAGGGTAAAATAATTCCCCGGAGCAGGCCCAAAACATGTCCGAATATTGTCGGGCCAACAGCCTGAGGCCTGGAGGAGGCAGATGGAACGTTCCAGGGCCGAGGCCGCGGGCTCTCTCCTCAGACACCTCCGCCCGCCTCACCTCCTGTACCTGCCAGAATCACACTCAACCACTACGCTTAGCACCCACTCGCCCAACATTTTCAAACAGATATTTGTAATCTGTGGGAAAACTTAAAAATTGAAATATCAATAGTACTTTGAATTAAGAAATTAAGGGTGACTTTTATTTCCCCCTCCTTTTGATTATTTGTATTTTAAAAATCTTTTTCAATGAATGATAGCTATTTATGTTACTTGGGTGACTTCAAAAACTAGCAGTAATTTGGGAATTTATTTTCTGACTGAAGCAAGGACTGCAAAAATGTACCCAAGTAACGAGGGCATACATTCAAGACTTCCGCGAGTTCTCACAAAACATATCCGTTATGCTGGGACGATGTCTGACCTACACAAGCGAGTATAAGAGTGCAGTGGACAGCCTGGCACTGAGGGTCGAACGTGCCCAACGGGAGATCGACTACCTGGAGTACCTACGAGAAGCTGACGTATGCATAGAATCAGAAGACAAGACCCTGGCGGAAAAGCTAGTCCAGGAAGTTGAAGAAGAGAAGAAGGTCCAGACTCTGCTCAATGCAAGTAAGAGAACTGTGTCTTTCATACCCTTCTTGGGGCTGTCACTCAGAAACACAGAGAGTAATAGCTGGATGTGCCCTCTTGTGTGCCTGTGCTGGGGGGACAACCTTAGCAGGGAGCGGGTGTCCAGAGGAAAATCCATTCTTAGAAAGCAGGTTTGCCTGTTACACAGCTTTCCTAAAGGCCCCATAGGTCAGGGCTACAGCGTCAGAGTTCAGCCCAGGAAGGGCGTCTCCTGACAGACCTTGGTTTGGCAGAGGTGTGGTTCCAGATCCTTCCTGGGAGAGTGACAGGGTCCCTCTCAGGGTCCAGGTACCCTCAGGGCCGGGTCTGCAGTGAATCAGCATTGTGCATGCTGTCGGGATGGTGATATCTAGGGGCTTTGTTTTCTATCCTGTGACCCATCAGAATCGCTTACAGGCTATGAAGAATGAAGTTTCAGAGCTCAAATTAAAATAAAAAGTAGCAAGAAACAAAAACTTAAAGAGAAGGAAAATGTCCTATGCATGAGTTATTTTTATTAAAATAATGAAGGAGACAATTCCCCCTGAGCCTGCATTCTGAGATAGTTTATTGCAAATGAGAAAACTTTATTTATAAGCTAGGTATGTCTGCTCCAGATATGAGAAACTCCATTAAGGAAGTAAGACATAAGTTGAATGTCATCCTTGTGCTAAGAGTTTCATATACCTTCTTAATGTAACCCTCATAAGAACTCCATGGTTCTTTCTAAAAGAGGTGACACTTGATCTGAGTTTTGAACAAAGAAATTGGAGAAGAATGTGCTGAGGGCACAACATGTCAAAGGTATGAGGACATGTACACTTGCAGATCTGCAGGTATGGCTGAGTGGACCTGTACCGGGCCGGTGAGTATAGGGAAGCAAGATTGAAGAGTTCAGCAGGATCCAGGTATGAAAGACCTTGCATGCTAAGGGGGTTGCACTTGACTGGAGACACGATTGAGAACCACTGAACACTTTTAAGCAGGGGCATGATGTGAAAGAAGAGGGCAAGACTAGAGGGAGGAGACGGGCCAGGAGAATAATGCAGTAATGTGAGCAACAGTGATTGTGCCTGCATGAGTGCCAGTGAGAAGGAGGACAGGTGGATTTGAGAGCCACTGAGAGCTGGAATCCACATGGCTTGGTGACTGATACTTCAAAGTGAAAAGTGAGTGAGAAGGATGCATCCAGTATGCTTCCCAGGGGTTTGGCTTAGGTCATTGGGTGGTCGATCAGAAATATGTTGAGATGGGAAACCCAAGAGGATTTTGGAACTCTTATTACCCTATTATTATTTTTTTTGAGGGGAGGCACTTATTACTCTGAAATCTTCTAGCTCATTTATTTGGTCACTGTTTATTTTCTACCTCTGCATCTAAAATGTCAGCTCTATGAGAGCCTAGATCCTGCATTTCATATTCAATGCTATGTCCCAGCGCCTAGAATAGTGTTTATATTCAATAAATCTTTGTCAGTGAATAACTAAGTAAAAAAATGAATGAACGAACGAATGAATGAAATGACAGTGTTGGCATAGAGAGAGGAGCCATTAGGTTCTGAAAGAAAGGAGAACATCTTATCGGAGTCAGAAGACAGAGAGGAGGAGGGTGCCTTATCGATAAAGGAAGCAGTTAATCAAGTTGGTCAAGTGAGTGATCCTTTTTGGCCTGACATTGTCTTGAGATGAGCCATCTTCTGAGAGGAAACAAGTGGGGGGTAAGCATGGGGTGAGGGAAGAGGGGAAAGGGCAAGGATGAGCCAACAGGAGGTGAACAGAGCTGCCCAAAAAAGCCAGTGGATTCTAAGGTGGCCTGAGCTAGAATATGCCTGGACTTTTGTGTGAGGTGTCAGGCAGGACCCCAAGCCTGAATTATTGTACTGAACTGGATCCCTGAGCTGCTCCTGGTCCCCGAACACTGTAAGCCCCTCAGGCCTCAGAGTTGCTCCTTTCCACTCCCACTTAGCTCAGTATGGGTCCTGAGTTTGGACTTGCTGCTTATTCACCTCTCATCCTCTGCCTCATCCCTCAGACACTGGAGGCCTGAAATATTCCCTCTCCCAGCTCCATGGTGAGTGAAAACTTCTCTGAGCTTTCCAGAGATTTCTCCTTCCATGCTACCATAAGTGCCTCTGGGGTTCTCATTTGGTGATTTGGTTGTTGGTTAACAACCACTTGTGCTCCCCACTATTGGCTGGGCCCTGAGCTACAGGCACAGTAGGGACAGAGGAGTGAGTAGAACATGCTACATCCTGCATTAACCCTCTATCTGCCTCTTTACCCCTGGTCTTGCCTCCTACGATCTATCTGCTGTCATGTAGGCCTTCCCAGAACACACAATGGATCACATTTTTCCTCTGGGTAGATTTATTTTTTATTTTATTTATTTTTATTTTTTGGTTTTAGAGAGAGAGGAAGGGATAGGGAGAGACAGAAACATCGATGAGAGAGAACATCGATTGGCTGCCTCCTGCATGCCCCCCACTAGGGATCAGGCCCACAACTTGGGCATGTGCCCTGACTGGGAATCAAACCAGCGACCTCTTGGTGCCTGGGTCGATGCTCAACCACTAAGCCACACCGGCCGGGCAGATTTTTTTTTTTGTCATTTGCCATCAATTATCAGCAACAAAAAAATGTATTCGAATCTCTCAGCCTTTTATATAGAGAATGCCCCTCACCAAGTGGCCCAAGTTCATCTCCAGCTTCTTAGGTTCCCTTAACTTACCCAATGCAGCTGCAATTGAAAATACAAATGTTTTCTCTACCCACCCTTTATGACTCAAAACTGCTATGGATTCGCTGGGAAGACTTTGGGGATGGAGGGTCAGGTGGGGGGGGGGGGAGGAATGTTTCAGGCGGTTTGGCCCATTGAACTTCTGGAGCCCCTCATTCAGTCCTCCCAGGGAGCACTAATACTTTCAACAATGTGTATCTGTGTGTAGTTGACTCCTGAACCCGACCACACGACCACGAGCATATTACATCTGCGTTTCTGGGATCCCAGAGTCTGGGTCAGGGCATCCCAAGGAGGAGGCTGTAAGAATTGTCCCCAGAAGAGACATTGGTGGCAGAAGCCCCTGAGAGCTCAGTTTAGGGACAGACAAACCTGTGAACAATCACAACTATGTGATTCGTGTTCCTTGGGCTACTGTTCTCAGAGGTTCTCTGCCCAAGGACACTTTGGAAAGCCAGTGTCCTCGCCTCCCTTGCACTGATTTGTAGTTTACATGCTGTGCCCATCTCCCACTTGTCTGCCATTTCTGTCAGTGACTGTGCCCATCTTAGTTTTCTAATGCCATGTAACAAATGACCACTGATTTAGCAGCTTAAAACAATACACATTTATTACCTCAGGGTTTCTGTGGATCAGGAGTCCCACACAGCTTGGCTGGACCCTTAGTCCAAGGTCTCAGGAGGGAATAACCAACGCTACATTTTCACCTGGAGCTCAGGCTTTCTTCTGAGCTCACAGAGGTTGTTGGCAGAATTAACTTCCTCTCGGTTGTAGGACTAAGGCCCTCAGCTTAGAGGCTGCCCCTCTCCTCTCCACAGGCAGCTCACCACGTGGCTGGTGCTGTGTGGAGGCCCACTGAACACTGAAGGAGGAGTGTGCCTCTCTTCAGGAAGTGTCCAGCCCCTCTTTTAAGAGTTTTTATCTGATTTAAGGCAGACCCACTCAGAATAATCTTCCTTTTGATGAACTCAGAATGAACTGATGTGGGACCCTGATTATATCTTTATAATCCCATCAACTTTGTCTTACCTTAACCTAGTCCAGGAGTGCTATCCTGTCACACAGCCGGTCCCGCCCTCACCGAAGGGGAGGGATTGTGTAGGTGTGTCCACCAGGGGGCAGGCATCTTGAGGGCCATCTTAGAATCTGCCTACCCAGCTGCTGCCACTAACAACCTATACCCACCTTCTTCCTACAAGGCTTTGATCTTCCTGTCTTCTAGTCTTGGACTTCAGGGACTGAGCCGGCTGTGGAATTTACACTAAAATATTTGAGACCCAAATCGGCACTCTTGTGTATGCAACCCCTTGGGGCTATGGGCCGGGGAAGAATCACCTGAGGTCATATCCCAGGTTTCCTTCATATATACACTCTCAGAGTTTTTCCAGAAACTCTGTAGGGAGAGGATAATACGACTTCCTTGGAAAAATTTAACCGTGTCTCAGATTTACAGAAAATTCTAAGCCATTGCCTATAGAGCTGTTTCCAAGTCTTCAAACTTTATTTAGAGAAGATCCCCAAAGATGTTCCCATGAGCGCCACAATCCTAAGGATTTTGGGTGGTTATGTAAAATTTTTAGAACCTTAACTTTAACGAACATAAACACTCTCTCTTTTCTCCCTTTCCCCTCTTCTTCCTTCTTCCTTCTCTCTATCACACATGCATGTACACGTGTGCACACACTTTAGAATGCAGTAAGTGAAAGTTACCTGAATACAATCTAACTTATATTAAAAATCTTTCCAAGTCTTTGATTCTCCAACTCTTATTAGTATAAAGAAAGTTTGCATCACACTTGGCAATTTATGGCAAAATTCCATTGCCTCAGATACCCAGCTGGAGAATGAATCCAACAAAAGTCTTTGGCCGATTCCACATGGTTGCATTTTTGTGTGGATAAAAGTATTAACCTCTTTTTAACTTGTAAGCAGCTTGTAAAGAAAAATTCTCAAGGCAGTCAAAACAAGGCATTGTAAAAGATTTTATTTCCTGTTTCAGTCCAGCTCCTTTTATTACAGGGTTGCATGCAAGTCACCTCGAGTAACCCTCTCTCTGAATTAAATAACTCATATCTTTTGTTAGATCATGTTTGAAAGAAGAAAGTCTGTTACTGCAGATTTAAATGCCTCTGGGATCCATTCAGGTATTAATGTGCGTGCCTCATATTCAAAGCCATTAAAAACAAAATAAAATAAAAAACAAGACAAGTAAGCAAACAAAAAACCCAGTGGAAGCCAAATAAAACATATCTGTGAACCAAGCC